AGCACCTCCCTAGATCTCCATGGTCAGCTTTGGATACGTTGGATTTCAACGTCCCCCAGTCTCTGAGTCTAAGGGAAAGCTGGGCTCTAAGAATTTTTGCAGCCACAAGGATAACCTTCAGTTCTTCCTCCCTCTGCTCTCAGGGCCTCCGTGAGAACCAAGAAGCTCCTGCTACTTTTAGGAGGAAAAAGTGCATCCTGATGTGCAAACATGCTCGCATATTCATGTGCTCAGAATCTCATTTTAGCTGCAAGAAGCTTCATTATAAGATGTTCACGTAATTAAGCAGTTTTCTTCCCAGGGCCCGGGAGCCTGTCTATTCTTCTCTCTCATTTACACATCACTGAGATTATCAGAATGTGTTTTACTACTTTAAAATGATATATTTTGGTTTTTCCAAATTGATCCACAACAGGAGATAAAATACATGAAAATTACATGTTTTAAACACAGGTTTGTGCCACTTCACAGCCTTGCTACTAGAGCTGGAATCTGTAGGTTCAGGTTTTGCTGTTCTGTTCTAACTGGGTCCTGAAGCATTTGTCACATGCCTTCCCTCCAGATTGGCGTTTATGACTGTCTGGTGGGTACAGCAGCATTCTCTCTACTGAGAGGCTGAGAGCTGCAGATGAGTCAAATGGACTTCTCCAAAAGGGTGGGCAGAGCCTCCTGACGGGTACCACTGAGGGTCAGCCATTACCACAGGGCTTCTGCACTCTCTCACTCTGCGACCAGTGAGCCTCAGGGCCATGTGAGCTGATGGCACTCTGCCCGAGAGGAGGTCAGGCCTTAGGGTACCCGGGAGCCAACTGCCCAGTTAAACTCTTGGCGATTGCTGCTCTCCCAGACGAGTGGGATGGTAGGGGAAGTCTAAGGCATCATGTCTGGCTGCAGACCCTTCTAAGCCTGCCTTTGAGGATCTATTGGGTGACCAGCAGTAGGCCATGAGTCATCTCAGGAGGAAGCTAGCTTCCTGCTCTCCAAAGTCTGACTTCATGTCTGGGATGCAATGGTTGCTGCCTCCCCTTCAAGGCATCATGGATATTCCCAGAGTGGGGCCTCAATTCCTCCTTGAGAATGGACCATGGAGCTATTCGAAGCCAGTACATATCAATGGAGACCCCAGCCTCCCCAAATTCATGTTGAACTGAGTGACATTGGCGGAGGGCTAAGAGTAAGATTTGGTCTTTGGTCCTTAGATTTGGTCTTTGCATGGTGCTTCAAAGATCCTGCATGTTAGATTTGTGTGATTTAAAAAAGTTATTTCCTTTGAGTAATTTGTTCCTCTACCCTGTCTTCAAACTCCCAAACTATGTCTTTCATGTAATCTATTTTGTTGGCAAGGATTCCCACTAGGCTTTGTATTGGATTTATTGATTTTATTTTTCATTTCCAGTTGTATTTCAATTTTTTATTTAGAATTTTTACCTATTCATTGAATTCTACTTCCATATCCTAAATTGTCTTTCTTATTTCATTCATTGGTTTGTTCTTTTTCCATCCTTCAAACACTTTATTCTTATATTCTTTGAGTTCATTCAAGTGTTTATCTGTTTTATTTAATTTTTTTGAACATGTTTATAATTGTACTTTTGAACTCTGTGTCTTCTCTTAAGTAAGGGACGATTACCACGGGATTGGCAATTCCTGTGGTGGACAGAGTGTCTTGGCTCTTGTGCTGCTTATGTTATTCCCATGAGTCCTGGGCATCTAAAGTTAGGTCAAGGGGTGATAGCCTGCATGGTTGAATAATGCTGAGCCTGAATGCCAGGGATTCTTAATACAAAAATTCCAGTGCCAAGTATAGGATACTTCATTATGAGTTGCTGGCCATTCATTGTCTTCTTAGTTAGAGTTTCTATTGATAAAACACAATGACAAAATGCAACTTGGGGAGGAAAAGGTTCATTTCACTTTACACCTTGTAAGTCCATCATTTAGGGAAGTGAGGGCAGGAACTCAGAGCAACAACCAGGAGGCAAAAAATGGAGCAGAAGCTATGGAGGAGTACTACTTATTGTCTTGCTCCTCTGGCCTCCTTCCTTGGCCTGCTTTTTTATATTCTCTAGGACCACATGCCTAGGGATGGCACTGCCCCTAACGACCTGGGTTCATTAAGAATAATCATTAATCAAAACATGCACTAAAGACTCACTTACAGGAAATCCAATTGGGCCATTTTCTAAGTCGAGATCCTCTCTTCCAAAATGACTCTAGCTTGTGTCAAGTTGACAAAAAGACTAACTAGAGCAGTCACAGAGGCCCCAGAGTAATAAGAAACCAAAACAATATAAGCCACAGAACTAGTTGACAAGACACTATTGCTGAAGATATCACACATCTTGGGTACAATATGCGGAGAAAATTAAACTGTAACTGAACTGGCATCCTCTTCCTGATGCCAGCTTTCACTGTCCTGCAAAGTGCAAGGCAAGCTATTTGGGAGAAAAGACTTTGTCATAGTTAGCTTCAGTTGTCAACTTGAGATTCCTGGGAAGAGGGAACTTTTCCCTCTTCCCCCATTAGGGAAGCTATGGCCACATCTATGGGGCATTTTCTTTATTGCTAATTGGCGTGGGAGGGGTCAGGCCATGGTGGGTGTACTATGCATAGGTAGATAGGCCTGGGCTGTATAGGAGAGGTGACTGAGCAAGACTGGGAAAGTAAGTCAGTAAGCAGCATTCCTTCATGGTCTCTACTTCAGTTCCTGTCTCCAGGTTCCTGCCCCAATTTCCCTCGGTGATGGACTATAATCTATAAGGCAAAATAAACTTTCTACCTCAAGTTGCTTCTGGTCATGGAGTTTACCATTGCGACAGGAAAGCAAACTAGGACAGACATTGATGGCTTTACCAAGGACTCCACAGACTATGGAATCAACCTGCCAGGCAGTGTGTGCCTGCTGGTGCAGTAAGGGCATGGCTGCTACGGGGCAACCACCCTATGCTTAGTTTTGAGGCTCATTCCATATAAGGGAACCTGTGCCTGGTACGTTAAAAACCCATGACTAAGCAGGTCTTAAGCTGCAGAACTTACTAGCGTTGTTTAGTTGATGCAGAACTGTCCTGCTTTATAAACGTGTTTATACTCACAGGCAAGTGCTACTCTCAGTTTTGATGGGGGAAACTACCTTGAAGGGGGATGAACAGAGACTCATGGCTGCTCAAGCTATTGAGAATAAGTGATGGTCATTTGCTCAGCCCTTAGGAAGACAGCTAAACCACCATTTCTAAGGATCAGAGAACAATTCAGAAGAGGAGGTGGGAAGAGAAGAACTTCACTATAGAGCTATGAAATACTGTCTTCTGGCATGTGCCATGGCACAGACAGTGGAATGATGCTCTCACAGCGGCAGTGGGCCTGTAAACAGTCAACCCCAGATGGGAATGCGTGTTGCATACCCCCCCTGCTCAACAATGGGACACTGATGGATTCTGGGGATGGGCAGATACTGCCTTCGGTTATGTACTCACTGATGTGCTCATCCAGCCCCCGCAAATAGTTTCAAACCTGTGGTTTCACAGATGGCCTGATTAAACTTAGTGGGTTACAAAACAAAATAAAAAGACACGGATGTGGGAACAGGACTTGTAGGCAGGAGGTGGAGTGTGATTAAGGAAGAACAGACTCTGCAGGAAGGACATGGCAGCTTAGGACCAGATATGCCTCTGGGGGAGGCAGTTCTGTGGTAATGCTACCCCTCCATACACCCAGATATGGACCCCAAGCCCACGGTCTAGCCAGGGAGCATCTCAGGGCTTTCCTAGGATCAACCTCTCAACTGTCCACACTGCTTCTCCTATACAGCTTTGGGTTGGGGGATGTTTCCCTATGGCCTTCCTACACCCTGCTGGGGTCCCCTTACATGGAAAAGGCCTCCCGAGTTAGGTCCATTTTGCTCTTCACACTTGTCAGGGCCCACCGATCCCTACCCCTTACTCCCACACCTGTCCCCTGCTCACAAAATACACCCATCTTTGAGCACAAGACAGGCAGCAAGGGTGGCCCAAGAAGGCTGTGAACATAAGCGGTCATTCTGGTCTCAGGCTGGCAGGCTGGGCTGAAAGCTAAAAGGCTGTAAGTCCATTTCCACGTCCCTCCTCTGTCCTCACCTTCCACTCCTTCGTCCCACTGCACAGGTAAAGGGACCTGCATATAGGGATATACCATCACTGTACCCCAAGGTTTCTAGGCCTCTGAACCTCTGAAGTGTGTATGTGCTCTTTGCCCAACTGTTCTTCCTTATTAGCAGGGGTCATGCCCATTCAAAACCACCTCAGGACTGCCGTGAAGCACTCCCTGAAGATCTTGGAGATGTAGCTCAGCATTTGTGAGACACATACATTCCTGTTTCTGATTTTCCACGCTCACCAGGACAATCCCAAGGTGGTGAGAAGGGCAGGAAGGGGGCTAGAAGGAGCTGTCACACCCATTTTCTCCCTGTGAGCAGCACAGAGGGCAGAGTGAGGATGACTGAGGAAAACCCTGTCAGTATCTTTCTGTCGTTCAGTGAAAGAAAAGCACCGAGGGGGAGAAGCATTGTTGGCTACAGAAATAAAGCCATAGGATGTGGCAGAGGCAGTGGCATGGCAGCAGTGTCAGAGTGAACGCGGTATCAGGGAGCGCTCTGTCACGGGGGGAGGCAGGGGTGTGTGTGTGTGTGTGTGTGCCAGGCTAGCCTCAGATTCACTATGTAGCTAGAGAGTCTGACTCTAGGGCTTCCACCTCCCAAGTTCTCCGACTGTCTCTCTCTAGGCTTGGTTTGCATACTTTTCTGTGTGACCTCCACAGAGCTGGGGCGTGTGGGGAAACTGGTCCTAGTGGCCCTGAGACATACCACCCAGGGCCTCTCCTGCCACCACGGGCTCTTCCTCTGGCATATGGCATCCCTTGGGTCTGGAGATCCCTGGAGGCCAAGCCCCCATCCCATCCTTGGGCCCTGACTCCTTACCAGAAGCATTTGATGCCTCAGCTTCCAAAGAGAGTTGGACAAGAAGCAAGCGGAGCATTCTGAGCTGCCCTGACGTTGTTATTTGAAAGAGGGTGATGGGTATGCTGAACGGTAGTGGCTAAAAGTTAACACGTGTGCCTGGAGGTGTGAGGGTGGGGGCAACAGTGGGTTCCACGCTGCCACAGTGTTGTCAGTCCCCATCCAGGGAGAAGAGAGAGGCAGAGAGACCGTGTTTGCAGTGCCAGGATGTCACAGCACACACATTTATGGGATGTCGGACAAGCAGCCAGGGTCACACAGTACTTAGCAGCCACAGTCCGTCTGTGTCCCTCCATCCCCACAGTTCCCAGTGTACTGCTCCGGTCAACAAGGCCTGCCCGGCACAGCGTTCCGGAGCCCAGGGCCTCCCAGAGCCTTGGGTGTGTGCACATGTGTATGTGTGAGGCAGACAACCATACGCAGGTGCCTGCGTGTACGCGTCCACCCTGCGTCCACCCTGGCTGGGTGTGCAAAGCTGGGAGTGTTGGGCCCACCTGCTCAAGTGGCTTGAGCACAGTAAAATGGGCCCCGACTCGGGGTGGTGCCTAAGTGTGTCTGAGGGTGTGTAAGTGTCTGGCAAGGCATGTCCTGTGACGCGCATCTCTCCGGGTGGGCTCTGTGCTGCCCAGGACCCCCTGCGCATGAAGCAGCTCCCGCAAGAGCACCCTGCTGACCGTGGACCAGCCGCCATGCATCCCAGGGTCCATGGACCAGTGCAGTAGAGCAGTGCCCAGCTCGTTAGTGCAGCTCCAATCAGCAGGGGCAGAGCGGGCCTATCTGGGCACATATTCCCTGGGCAGCCCAGCCCAGTTGTGGTCACGCAAGGCCTGGTCCACTGTCCTGATATGGCCATTGATCAAGTCCTTCATCTCAGGCGTGAAGGGTTCCTGATCGTGAGGGCGCCGGCCACGCCGCCTGAAGCTGCCTTCTTTGTTGTTCTCCACGCAGAGAAGCCGCTCCTCACTCACCGACACGTTGAGGAAGGCCACCATCTCCCGCAGTGTGGGCACCAGGCTGCGTCGCAGCTCCTCATAGTGCACAACCAGCAGCCGCTTCCCATACTTGAGCCAGTCTAGGACGTGTGAGGACCACCATGAGGCGTAGCTGTTCACGAAGTCTGGCCATTCTGGAGCAAGGAGAGAAGCGCTGCGTCAGGGCTGCCTTCCGGGGCTACTGGCTCTGTAGGGCCTGCCTAGGGGGCAGAGCTGCCAGTTTTAGACTTCTCACTCCCGCTGACCCACTTGGGAGTCCACTATCAGGTTAGACCTGGAAGAGTCCTAGGACTTGACTCTTGAGTCTGAACTTGGGCAACAAACAGCCTGCCGTGGGCCAAGGGAAAGCTACCTTTTTTGACCTTTGGGACTATCCGGGACAGCAAGAAGTGTATGTGGGCCCCAGGGTATGATGTCATAGAGAGATAAAAGGATCAAAATCCAGAGGAAGCCCAAGCGATCCATCTCATGTCAGGAAACCTGGGTGATATGTGTTACAAACATATGTGTTACAATCATATATCACCCTGTAATAACATAACAATGTTTGTAACATATACTGAACATGTAACGATGAACATGTGACAATATATGTTTGTACATTGTATATCTGTATATTGACATACACTGAAGTCCTTAGACCAGGATGATGGCATGTACAGAAGGGGCTTTTGGGAGGCAGGCTAGGTTAGATGAGGCCATGGAGCAGAGGTCCCTTGAGATGGGATTAGGAACAGGCTTCTCTGCCATGAGGCCATGCAGCACTGTCTGAAAGCTTAGAGAAAGGCCTCACCAGACATTGAGTCACTCTGCTTCTAGAACCACAAAGAATAAAGAACGATTACTGAAGCCCCTCCCTTCATCTGTGATGCCTTGTTACGGTTGTTCAAGCTGACTAGGAAGGAGGGCTGGAGACCAGCACTGCCAGCCACCACCCAGGCGCCCTGGACAGATCAGGCTACTCTGCAGGCACATCTGGAAATGTGGATCTACAGAGATCTCCCTCCCGACTACAGCAGCCAGTGAGGGCAGCCTAGGAAGGACCGCCACGCCAACCTCTGAACACAAAGCGGGCATGCACAGCCTCTTCCCATCTCTGAATGGCATGTGGGTATGGCCTCATCTTCTAAAGGAGGATCTAACTGACTCCAGCAGAGAGGCAGACAAGGCCATGCCAGCTAGAGCTGGCTCAGGTCCGGGCAAGCTCTGGGTCTCCATGCCCTCATCACCCACCTAGGAGTGGAGAGAAGAGAATTTTGGCCTGCCGCCTGCATGGCAGTCACATAAAATGAGACACTGCGCGGACAGAGAAAGCTTGGAGAAGGTGGGAAAGAAGTGACTGCAGCCAGGCCCTTCCACAGCCAGGAGTGTGCATTCTGAGCCTGCAGTCAGTCCCCTGCTCAGGCCACCCATCCCTCACCTTTGCTCTTCCAGTTGCGGTCAGGGGCATAGCCCAGGTGTCCGGCGCATTTCCTGTTGAATTCAGCAACTAGGGACCGGTAGGGGTTCCGGATCAGCAGGATGGCAGAGTCAAACATCTCAATCTCCCTCCGGCCACTCTCGTGCGTCTTCACACAGATGGTGCGCCGGCTCCGCCAATGGTCCTTCTCACCCTTGAACCCTGCTCAGGGGGAATGGAAGGACCTCTGCAGAGGAAGGTTCCCCCGCTCTCATTTGGGGTGATCCTACTTCCACCATAACACAAGGACTGACGCCACCTGAGGGGACTCTTTCGGGGCGTGGCAGATATACCGACAGGAGAAGCCTCCAGGGGAGTGACTCTCGACTCAGGTAAAGTGTTAACAGGAGGTGTCTACCAGTGGGGAAAATGATGTCCACATTTACAAAAGGCAAATTACCTACTGCAGCCCCCAGGGGTCAAAGGGCAGGGTCCTGACCTATGGACACAGAAGGTGACACACATGTTGGGCTTTCCAGGGAGATTATCTTAGAGGAGCATTGTAAAGAACTTTGTCCCAGACGAAGACTGAGGCTCAGGCGGGTGGGGCATGTATACAGCATCTCCACGACTACAGAGCTCCGCTCACATGCCTGTGGTGTTCCTGTAAAGCCCCTACCTTAGTGGCTGTCCTCATGCCACATGCTGTCACAGGTCCATGGACTATCACCTGAGTACAGGTTCTCTATTCCAGGCTCCAGAGCAGTTCCTCACCCACAGCATTTGAAGGCCCACAACCTTGTCTCCATGAATGGAGAGTTATCCCCCAGACCAACATCTCCGCTCCCTGCATCCTTCCCTTGGCTCGTTGGGAAAGCACTGTGCACTCAGAACCCAAGTGACAACTGGTTGAAAGACCAGACTGCACTCATTGGTCCCTAGATTCCGTAAGTCCTTGTGGCTCCCTGTGGGGAGCTGTGGACCATTTGACGGCTGGTGCTGTCAGCTCGGTAGGTTGGACCCAGCTAGGAGACAGGGGTGCACTGCACACCTTCGAGGGGCCATGAAGCCCCCGGTTATGCCCGTGAGGGGCCATCTTGATTGCGTTACCTGAGGGAGGAAGACCCTACCCTAGAAGAAGGTGACACCATTCCCTGAACTAGAGTTCTGAACCTTGGAAGAGGAGGAAGCTAGCTGAGCACCGCATCCATCGCTTCTGTTCTTCCCCACCATGGATGGATACAGTGTCCCCACCCACCCCAGCCTCCTGCTCCCCTGACTTCCCCGATGGATTCCATCTCAAACTGTGAGGCAGATAAACTCTTCCTTTCTTGAGTTGCCTTTGTCAGGGTATTTTGACACAGCAGCAGGAAGGATATATATGACAGCAATAATGGAATAAAAGCAGACCCCGACTTAAGAGGCTGTGGACTAGAATGTGGCGTCGCCCAGCTGCAGAGCAGAGGAGCTCAAGGATACACAGCTGAAGAGATTTCAAAGTGGGACATTCTGGAAAGATGTTGCCTGGAGCCCCTAGCCCATAGGTCAGCCTCACCCAGGACACCCAGCTCAGAGAACAGGCTCCATACATCTCCACAAGCTTGTCTTGGAGTTTTGGAAACAAGAGTCCAGATGCCTCCCTTTGGCAGTGGTTGCAAAACCTCCATATCTACAGGGGCAGCAGCGCTTCCCTGGTACCTGGAGAAAGGCAACTTTCAAACCCAGAAGTGGGGATTGCCCAGCAAAGCTCGCTACTGCCAAATACCAGAAGCCCTTGCCTTGACTGATCTTACCAAACAGGCTAGGATGCCATAAAAGGATGACTGAAACTGACTAAGTTAATGTCAGGCTGCTGTCTGAGAGCCCACAGCCCAGGTGCCTTCTGGCAGCACTGAACCTGGCTAGTCCACTCTTTGGCCAACTATCTACATGTAGACACGGGCAGTTGGTACAGGCCTTCCAGGCAAACACTGTAGGTCACTGCAGCCTGGGCACAGAGGCCAGCCAGAGAAAGCAGGGTCATGTGCTCAGCTGGCAGTGGCCCCCCACATCTGCAGGCGCCCCAGCATCTCTATAAGGTGGGGCTGACATACTGCTACTTGAGCACTTGCCGCCAAACAGGGCCCATCTGTCCCTCTAGATTGTTTTTGTTTGACAGTATCAGCTTTTTAGCAAAACAAACTCTGGCTAAGAAACCCAGGCAAAAGCTGTGCCACTTGACAAGTAAGAAATACATTTTGCCAAATTTAGATGCCACTTGACTTGTCTAAGGTTCTCGAGCAGCAAGCAGACTTGGGCCATTTAAGTTAATTTACTCAGAATAATGAGGCCTCTTATTTCTGCAAGCAAAATATTAGAAAACAAAGTTCTTGACCATTTCTGGACAGATTTTAAAAACTGCATTTTTCTTCATCTGTGGCCTGGTAAGGCTGCACCCCGCTGAGGGGATGGTGATCAAAGAGCAGACCAATTGGTTTATGTCAGAGACAGTCCCTGTTCCCATTACTAGGGTACCCACTTGGACACTGAGCTGCCCTAGGCTACATCTGTACAGGGATTTTCATTAATGGTCCACGGTTGGAGTATCAGTCTCAGAAAACACCTCTGTGTCCAGATTTTTTTCGTTCTGTTGCTCTCCTTGTGAAGTGCCTGTCCCCTCCAGGTCTTTCTATAAGGTTTCCTGCACTCTGCCCAAAGTTTGGCTATGAGTCTCAACATCTGCTTTGATATTCTGCAGGGTAGGGTCTTTCAGAGGCTCTCTGTGGTAGGCTTCTGTCATGTTCCCTGTTTTCTCCCTCTTCTGATGTCCGTCCTCTTTGCCTTTCTGAATGAGGATGCAGCCACTCCTGATGAGACCTGATAGACTAGGATCAGATGGAAGGGGAGGAGGACTTCCCCTATCAGTGGACTGGGGGAGGGGCATGGGCAGAGAAGAGGAAGGGAGGGTAGGATTGGGAGGGGAACAGGGAGGGAGCTACTAGTGAGATACAAAGGGAATAAACTGCAATTAATAAAAATAAAATATTATAAAATAGTCCCAAATCCTGGACTGGAAAAAAACTGCATTTTTAAAAATGATGATGAACTACCCCTTTGTCTGAAGGGGAGAAAAAAGAATGAGCAGATTAATTTTCACTCTTAATAGACTAGAGGGCTGTGGGAAAGTCTGGTGCTCCGAGAGGGGCTGGTTTGTGAGGGGCCGGCATGGGGTGACCTCTTCTCCCTGTAGAAGCCTGCCTTACCCTTGTTGTAGAGGGTTCCATCAAAGTAGTAGCTTCCAGTGTAGAAGCCAGTGGCGTGTTCGATCAGGTGCCTCGCCCACGTGTTCCCAGCTCCTGGGAAGCTTGACAGAGCCACGAACACCTTAGACTTGTTGGGCAGGAACTTCCTGTCTGTGCAACGGGTGTCTGAAAGCCCACAAGCCACCAAAAGACACTGTGAGTGAGGGTCCTCCGCTGGAGTCCTCGGAAAGGGACTGGCGATGAAGGGGCCTGCAGCCTACACTTGCACGTCACTGGCTGGGGAGGCGAAGCCTCCCATCCCTGGCTGGATGTGGTGCCCTGGGATGCTCACCATACCATCTCTACGGGGAGGCCAGATTCTGCCAGGGCAGGTGGACAGGGCTGTGTCGGGACCCAGCCGTGTCACTGCAGTGCGGTGAAAAGAAGCTGGGCCCATCTGAGGCCAGCAACTGTTCTCAGGACTGCTGGCAGCAGCACAGGTCACTGGGGGACAATCTCCGGAGACACTGGACAACCGCGGGGTTGCTTCTCCTTATGAGATATTCCTTTCCATCAGTCCCAGAGACTCTCAGAGGCTCGTGATGATGCTCCCTCAGGGGTATTGCCAACACATGGGGGTTTCTGAGACCTAAGTGCCCTTCACGTGCCTCTGAGGCTTAGGTCTTGAATTATTCCCCTGAGCCTCCCTCCCTCTCCTCTTACACTACCAACCCCAAAGGCTCATAGCTTCAAAGGAAGCCTGGCCTTACCCTCCCTACTGAGTAGAGCCAATGGGAATTCCATATACCCTGTACCCGTGGCTGTACACTGAGGCATGCCTTAGCATTTCTAGCCTTAGGAGCTCTCTGGCCCCAGGCTGATGCCAGAGTCCAGGGGGTAGGCAGAGCTCACCTTGGACAGGCGTCTGGTAGACCTCACAGTAGCCAGGTAGCTCCTGAGCCTCTGGGGCCTGGCTGCACAATGCTCCATCCACAGCATCCCGCAGGCTGAACTGGGGGGTAGGGTAGGCGCAGTAGCAATCCCAGCCCCTGAGGATGGCAAGAGGAAACTCCTGCGGGGAGGGAGAGGAGGAGCAGGAGGTGAGGAAGTGAGTGGCTCATGCCTGCGGCTTAGAGGTGAGCTGGTCCCCACGGAGGCCACTTACACAGGGTCAGCAGGCTCTGGGTCCAAACCTGGGTACTCACAGCAGTGAGATGTGACTTGTGCTCAGCAGGAGCCCTGAGTGGAAGGTGACGAGCCAACAGGCACCACACTGCATGAGACACACCGTGGAGGAGGGGAAACCTGGGCCCAGGATCTGACTAGGCATCTTGCAGGAGCACTAGGCTGGGTGAGGACAGCAAGCCAGCTCTTCGCCACAGGGCAGCTCAGGGTTTTTTATGTCACATCATTAGACAACCACACCTTGATCCCTGACAGGGGGTCAGCTACGCCTCCAGGGAATGGACAAAGCCAATCCTTGGCCTAGAGGTCCCCAGCAGAGTGGGGACAGATTCCTATAGTCTTTTACCCCCCATAGTTGGAAGAGTAGAGAAACACAAGTCTTGTTCCTTCCTGACATGCTCAAATGATTGGGGTTTTCTGAAGAAGAAGTGTCTACCAGGCAGACAGACTGGACACACTTCCTTCTGAGGTCCCAGCCAGCTCTCAAGTGGGCTCTTGCTCCCCTTTGGCATGTCCACATCACACAGCAGAAGGAGCATCCTGAAGACCTGGATGGCATTTCTGGCTCAGTTGTGTGTCACTGGTCAAGACCTTTAACCACCAAGACTCTCGCCATTGGTAAATGGTAATAAAATATAGCATGTGGAAGGATGGCTAGGTGACTTGGGCCCCAATGGTTCTGCATGGTGCCTGGCATCCAGTAGGCATTCCACCTAGCAAAGGGCCATCTTTGGCTTCCTTTCCCCTCTAAGTGTTAACTACAGCTCATTCCAAAAAATGCACACACTTCCCTCACACGTGTCTGCGAGTACCCACTATGTGCCAAGCCTCCCACGCGGAGCGGCAGGGCTCTGAGGCACCGAGCCTGTGTAACAGAGGGAGGCAGTGGGCAGAGGACGGTGTTTGCTGAGAACGGAGCTGCTGCACAAACCTTTTTATTTTTTGCCCACAGCAAGAAATCTCGTAAATAAATAAGGAAAATCAATAGTGTTTTCCGTGCGTGGCTTGGTAAAGCTGAGGAGCTGTGCACTCGTGTTAGACAAGAGATAGTGTCACAGCCAGGGGAGGTGAGGTGAAGCCTGAGGGACGCAGCCACAAGAAACACTGATTGCTGACCCCAGGGCTGACTGAGCAGACCCTCTCCTCTGAGCCCAGAGACCCCTGGCTCCCACCCCCATCCTTCATACCAGGCTGGCAGTCTACCCACTGGCACGGGGGCTGACAGGTCTCCCTGGGTCTCTAAGGAGACTTCACACATGGCCACATAATCTTTACAGAGAAGCCCCTCTGGTGTTTTGACTTTCCCCATAGCTCAGCCAGCATCTCTGGAAGCAGGATTCTCTGTGGATGTGACCTGGTGAGAAGTAGTGTAGCCTGTGAGGGTTCAAACATCCCCTCTTCACCACACTGGTGTCCTGCCTTTCTCTACAGTAGTTCCTTCATCCCAGCAGGGGCTCCCAGGGCCCCTTGCTGCCCTTTGGGAGTACCCCATGGCTCATTCCAGCACGTACAGGCTGTGGAGGCTCAGAGTGAGACCTCACTTAGAAATAAGGTCTTTATAGAGTTAATTAAAATGAAGTCATTAGGTTGGGAAGGCCCTTCATTGTGACTGATGTCCTCACAGGAAGAACTGGCCATGGGCAAGCATCTAACAACACAGGGAGATACAGGCCAAGGAGAAACCAAGGCTGCTGGTCCATCCACCTGTGGTTCCGCTTTACATACCTGCTGTTTAATGTGCCCAGCCTGTGGTGCTGATGAGGCAGCCTGGGTCAGCTAAGGAACTGCCTCTCCCTGTTCCCTGACTACTGAGACAGGCTCTCACCCCTGGGCCTTTGCACCTGCTATGCCTGGAATGTCCCTCTGTATACACCCTCTCTTACTTTCCTCCAGCCACCATCTCAGTGAGGCCTCCTTTGCCCACCCCTTTCCAAACTGCAGTACCTTCCTATGCACACCTTCTCCTATGCTGTGCACGAATACTGCTTGATAAATTCCTCATGAAGTGCTCTGATCCCAGATGCACAGCCTGGTCAGCTCGGGCAGGCAGCATTTCCATCCACCTAGAGGTCCTCCTGTCCTTCCTCCAACACCTCTCCCTCCCTCAACCCAAGCAACTGCTATCTTGCTTCCCATCACTGCCGATCAGCGCTATCTATTCTAGAGCACCATATAAACAGAATCACTGGGTGTGTAATTTTTCAAGCCTGATTTCTTCTTTCATTCAGAAAACCATTTGTTTAATCTGTCATCACTGGTTTACATGTCAGTAGCTCATTCCTTCTCACTATCATAGAATTACACATGTGGACGGACCATGGGTTGGCAGTTCCCTTTTTGATGGCTGGCTGAGCTGTTTCCAGATTTTAGCCACTGTGAATACAGCTGCTTGAAACACCTGAGGATTTGACTGTCTCATGTGCAGACACCTACCCTTGCTGCCTGGTTCTTCATCGCCTTACTCACCAGCACACAGCATATTGTATCTTTTACTTCTTTTCCTGGTTTGTTGTCTGCCTCAATTACGAGCATGAAAACAGAGAAGGGATTTCTGTGTCCTGTGTGTGGCCACATCCTCAGGGGCTAAAACAGTGTCTAGTATACGGCAGATGTTTCAGTAAGTGTTTGATAAATGAACAAGTAAATGGATGAGTGAGTGAGTGAGTGAGTGAATGAATGAATGAATGAATGAATAAATGAACATCCTTTCTAGACTCCAGCATCATCAAAAGCTGTTGGCAACAAACCATGCCATACTCCTGGCCAAGGTCGAGAGCCTCAGAGGGTATGAGAGAGGAGAAGGTGGCAGCACCTTGCAAGCCCCCCCGCCCCGGCTCTGCTACCCTGGGATCCTGGAAGCAATGGTCTTTACAGCCTGAGTGTTCTGACGAGGCCCCGGGCTCCTGGCTCTCCCCGAGGCGCTGGCGCTGAGGCTGACTTCCACTCTCATACCCCACTGCCCCCACCAGTGACCCAAACCCTTCTGCTTCCCTGAGTGGGTTAAACTGTCAAGTTTCTGGGTGTTTGCAGAGCAACGGAAGAGCTGCAGACAGTAATGCAGTTTTATTTACAACATAACCGCCTCGGCAACATCACTGGATTCTGAAAACACAGAACAATTTTCAGCCCCGTGGGATTTCGAGGACACGATTTCCATAAAAATTAAATATTGATGAATCTTATCTTTCTGCCAACTTCCTAGCTCTCCCATGGCCCTGCCCCCACTCCAACCTTCAATGAGAGAAAGAGACAGAGGGAATGGAGGTTAGAGTTGAAAAAAAAAAAGCCAGAAAAAGCAAGCAGAGAGCCAGAACACAGTGTCAGACTGTTGGAATCAAGCAGAATTCGGAGAGCTAGCTAGGCCTGCTTCCTGGGCCAGGATGGACACACAGCCTGGTCTTCATCTTGGACCTCTGGCCATGAGTTAAGGTGCCCAGGATGGGGATTCAGGTAGGAGTGGACTCCAGGCAAGGCCCAGGTCTTGCAGGGAGCCGTGAACAAAGGCCTGGCCTGTGGCCATGGATATCTCCATTCATGAGAGTGAGCTCTAGGGGTTGAAATGATCTCCAGGTGCCTTTCGGAGAGACTGGGAGTGTGGGTAAGGCTCAAAGAAAGGGGCCAGAGGCTTCACCTGCAGGGCCTCCGGCATCTTCTCAATGTAAAGCTCTCACTTGACAGGCTCTTGCCACACATCCAGCCTCAAGGTGCTGGCAGCTAACACTTAAGCATCCATCCTATGGGCACAGGAAAAGTCCGAACATGTTGGCTTGGGGAAAAAAAACCAGTGTCTTCAGGGGACCTATAGGTATCAGTAGGGGTGGCATGGCTTTGAGCAGACCTGAGTCCATGAGCAACAAACTAGACCAACTCCCAGAGAAGGCCTCTCGTGAAAGCCAAACACCATCAGACAGAACTGTGAAGACCCGCCCAGCCACCAGGAGCCCAGGGGCCTGGTGTCTATTGACCAGTGCAAGAACAAGCTTCCTCCAGTCAGCCTCTCAAACGTCCCACCAGCAAAGGAGCCAGGGCCAGAGACGTTATCAGGATCGCCGTCTGCACAACGAATTACTCAAGTGGCAGCACTAATATAAATCATGGCGTCGCTGGACCCATGTCACTTTCTCATAGGCATTCTCACCTCATCCGGCTTAAGAAGTGGAGGGTGGGGTGACAGGGCCCCAGAATCACAAATGAGAATATGGTAGGCAGGGACTAGGACCCAAATGATTACAAGTTCAAGTCTTTCTCTGGACCAATTTGAGAAGGACAAGACACAGCTGAACAACATATCAAAAGCCTTCCATGTGTACATGTAAAACCACAAATCCTTATTTTCCTTGTTATGATAGCTCCAGGAAATAATTGCTAATGCACTCACAGGTAAGAAAAGAAAAGTGAAAAGAAAAGAGAAAAAGAAGAAAAGAAGGAGCTGGGCAATGGTGACTAGGTGGCACACACCTTTAATCCCAACACTCATGGAGGCAGAGGCAGGTGGATCTCTGTGAGTTCGAGGCCAGCCTGGTCTACAGAGTGAGTTCCAGGACAGCCAGGGCCACATAGAAAAACCCTGTCTTGAAAAACAGAGAAGGAAGGAAGGGAGGGAGGGAGGGAGGGAGGGAGGGAGGGAGGGAAGGGACCTGAGATGTCGCCATCAGTAAAGCGCCTGTCTGGCCAGCATGAGGACATGAGTTCCAGAGCCCATATTTACAAGGAGCGAATGTGGTGGTTAGCCTTGCGATTCCAGAACTGGGGAGGTAGAGTCAGATCCCTGGGGCTGCATGCCAGGAAGCCGAGCCTTCTTAACAAGTTCCAGGGGTATGAGAGACTTTGTCTTAATAAAACTCAAGGTGGATGGCTCCTGAGCAATGGGCCCAAAGTTGTTCATTG